AAGGGAAAGAAGTACCTGCATGAGAGAGAGAGAACATGAGAGAGAGAGAGAGAGAACGTGAGAGAGAGAGAACATGAGAGAGTGGGGGAGAGAGAGTAGAGGCAGACAGGAGCCCACTTCTACAATAGGTCATTAATCTATTTGGGAGAGCAAAGTCTAGCCACTTTTTAAAAATCGGTACAAGCCATCAGGCACTGGGCGCTGCACACGCTAGGCTTGTGCCCTGCAGCTCCAGCCCAGGCCGTTCATCTGTCAGCACTCTACCTTCTAACCCTGTCGCGTGAGAGAGGCGTTAAAACATGAACTTTGAGAAACAGAGTTAAACCACAGTGAGGAGGCAGTGGTGTCAGGTGACTTTGAGAACGTTTCGACAAGGAAATGGAATCAGGGCATGGATGCTCACTCCAGTAATTACAGCACTTAAGAGGCTGAGACAGGAGGATTGCCGTGAGTCTGAGGCCAGATCAATCTACAGAGCGAAAACTCTGATTCAAAGGGGAGAGAAAATAGAAGGGAGAGAGAGAGGGAGGGAGGGAGGGAGGGAGGGAGGGAGGGAGGGAGGGAGGGAGGGAGGGAGGAAGGGAGGGAGGGAGGAAGGGAGAGAGGAAGGGAGGAAGGGAGAGAGGGAGGGAGAGAAGGGAGGGAGGAAATAGTAGTATATAGTAAACACTGGATGTAGTGGCCAAGGCAGTAGACAAAGGAAATCATTGCTTTGCAGTTCCTGGTCCAGGACACACTGAGTAGCAAATGGCAGTATTTACTGAAATGAGACAGGAGCAGCATGCTTCTCTGGTCCAGCGTTCTCCTGATGAAAGAGGGACTCTTCGGTAGTGGGGACATAGCTTAGCTGGCACAGGGCTTGCAGCACGTTTGCCTAAACCAGACGTGGTTCCTCCAATCCCAGTACTGGCGAGTTAGAGGATCAGGCATTTAAAGTCGTCCTCAGCTACACAGGATGTTCCAGACCAGTAGACCATGGGACAGCGTAGGAATTTGCAAACTTCGTGCAGTCTGCAGGCACTTTTCTCTGTCATTAGATTGGTGATTCTCTGGGAGGTTTTCCATTTTACTTTGTCAGTCACACATGCGACAGCTATAATTTTCCCTAGAAATTCTCTTCCTTTTCAAATATTTTCCCCTAAGATTCAACAGGGGCTAATGGTTCTCAAATCTCTTATCTGGATTTACTAACTATGGCTCCCAATCCTGGGCACTTTTCTGATTCAGTAGAGATAGGTATTTATGAGAGAACAACACTTGAAACATTAACCATGTCTCACAGTTCTGGAAAGCAGAGTAAGGCATGCATACACAGAATAAAGAAAAGGCCTCAAGAGTACACATAGTGCCAACTGTTTAGAGTAAGTTCCCTGGACACCAAACATAGAATCAATGATAGGATCTAGTATGATCCAATGGGGGAGAAACGTAATGTAAAATATGTATGGAAAGATCCATCTTCACCACACACAGGAGATTATATTTGTAAAAGATGTATGGTATAGTGGAATGAGAAAAGAATGCCTTATCAACGTCTGCCTTTTACAGAGAGATTGTGACATGGGGCCCTCTGGTAGAAAAGGGAACTACATAAAAACATATCCTGCAGACGTGAAAGAATTGTCTGGGTTTGAATATTGTTGTCCTTAAAGCATTGTGCCCATGCCTATTATTTTTTAACTTTGTAACCACAAGTGGCTGCCAGCTGACCTAAGTGCTCCGAGAACAGGATGTGTCTGGCTGATATCTAATTAACCCTGTAAAAATGCTGAACTCTATGTCTAGAGTAAGGTTATATGGGGAGGGGGAGGTGAATTTGGGGAAGCATAAAGGGGAACAATGTGACTTTCATAATAATTAAAACATGGTGTATTTCTTAAATATCAAAAATAGGAGCCAATAATAAAGCTTTTTGTGTAACCCAGGTAAGCAAAACTCTGTTTAAGTGTAATTAAAGATGGCTTGAGCTAGTCAGGACCACTTGAGTGCAATCCACTTGGTGCTCAGAAGTTTTCCTTGCTCTGATACCCGTTCCCTGGCTCAGGACCCAAACCTGAGCTGAGGCTGGACCCTAGCAAAGGATATCCTTGGCTACATAGCTAGTTCAATGACTGCCTGGGCTAGATGAGACAATATCTCAAAGAGAAATAAAAGAAGGAAGAAAGAAAACAGGGAGGAACAGGGGACATTTAGAGCCAGGAGTGGTGATGCATGGCTGTAACCCTGTACTTCTAAAATGGAATGCAGGAGGGTTGAGAATCTGACGCCTGCCTGGGCTACAGAGTGAGACCTTGTCTCAAAAAAGAGACGAAGCAAGCCTTCCCATCGCAGGAGAGGCTGCAGCTATGTGGAGCAGGGATAGAGGAGGAAACATCCGTAAACACACAGAAAAAGCCTTTCTCTGCCCTCTCCAAATCCATTAACAAAGGTGGGGGGCGTTTTCAACCCCCAAATCACCTGGTTACTAATCTGATTCTCTACAAAGGGATGTTTTTAAAAATGTCCTTCCCCTATAATGAGACTGATGGCTACCTTATATGCCATCCCAGCGCCTTCATCCAGTAGCTGATGGAAGCAGAAGCAGACACCCACAGCAAAGTACTGAGCCAAACTCCTGGAATTCAGTGGTAGAGAGGGAGGAGTGATAAGCAAAGGGGTCAAGACCAGACTGAGGAAACCCACAGAAACAGCTGACCTGAACAAGGGGGAGCTCATGGACCCCAGACTGACAGCTGGGAAATCAGCATAGGACCGAACCAGGCCCCTGAACGTGGGTGTCAGTGAAGAGGTCTGAGTAGTATAGAGGGCCTCTCATGGTGGAACAGTATTTACCCCTAGTGTACAAAAGGACTTTGTGAGCCCATTCCCCATAGAGGGACACTCTCTCAGCCTAGACACACAGGGGAGGGCCTAGGGCCTACCCCAAATGATGTGACAGACTTTGATGATCCCCCATGGAAGGCTTCACCCTCCTTGGGGAGCAGAAGGGGGTGGGATCAGGGGGTCAGTGAGGGGCATGGGAGGATGGGAGGGAGAGGGAACTGGGATTGATGTGTAAAATAAGATGGTTTCTAATTTAAATAAAAATGAAAAAAGGAGAAAATGCTTCTTAAATCATCTCAAGACTTTATTTGTTCTATCTACTTAAAGCCTTGGAGATTTGTGTCAAACTGTTAAGTTGGAAAATACGTGAAAAATAGGACTTTCAATGGGCCAGCTTTTTCTCTTAGATGGGTTCTGCCTAGACCATGGTGGTGAGGGCTGGTTATTAGGAGCAGAGAGGGGAAAGAAGGAGGTGAGAGAGAGGAGGTAAGAAAGAATGGGAGAAGCCTGGTCATCTTCTCTTTTTGCCATCTTGGCTACTCTTGTTAAACAGCTACCGCCCTCTAGTGCTTGCTAAATAGATTGCATACGAAGTTCAAAGCTTTTGTGTGTGTGTGTGTGTGTGTGTGTGTGTGTGTGTGTGTGTGTGTGTGAGCAGAAAGGTATTCAGTCACATGGAACTGAAGTTACAGATGTCTTTGACCTGCTGGATAGGTACTTGCAACTGGACCCCAGGCCTCTGAAAGAGAAGCAAGTGCTCTTAACTCCTGAGTCATGTTTTCAGCCTCCTGAAACCCATTTTATCTTTAAAACCATGTTTAGGGACTGGGAAATATAGCTCATCCAGGAACGTGCTGCTAAGCAAGTTTGAGGACATAGGTTCAGATCCCAGCAGCCACTTAAAAAAACAGGGTGCAATGGTGCATATCTGTAATGCTAGCACTGGGGAGCTGAGACAGGAGGATTCCAGAGCTCACTGGCTGGTTAGTCTTGCAAAATGTATTCAGTGAGGCCTTGAATAAAAAAAATGATACAGGTAGTTAATCTTGGTTGTCAACTTGGGACACCTAAGAAACACCAAACCTCAGTTGAAGAACATCCTCCATCATGGTGGCCTCTGGATGTGTCTAGGTGACGAAGGAGGGCCCAGCCCACTGTGGGCAGTACATCCCTAGACAGATGGGCCTGGGCTGTGTAAGAAAGGGAGCAAGCCTGTAAGCAGGGTTCCTCCATGGTTTCTGCTTCAGTTCCTGTGTTAGCTGGTGTCCTCCTTTCCTTCACTGATGAATTCCCACCCAGAAGTGGAAGCCAAATAAACTCTTTCCTAAGTTGCCTTGTTCATAGTGTTTATCCCAGGAACAGGGATCAAACTAGATGACCACCCAGCACCGGACTTTGGATCCTACATACATGTACATATGCACACACAAATGTGTCCAAACCTATCTATATCTGGAAGGGTCTAACATCCTTGTTTTGTCAGTAAGCACACTGAAATTCAGATATGAGGTGTCCACCTGACCTAAATGTCCTTCTTACATTCTTAGTTACCCTACCCCCACTTGTCTGGCAAATTCTCTTCCTTATAAGCATTTCCCAGAAATTTCAGAACTTCAACAATAAAAAGTATAGCATATTAATCAAAATGCTATATGTTACTTCTAATATTATCCCCAGTAAACCTGTAATTGATAGTCATAAATAAAATTGGTAATTTTAAAACTTGGTACAATTTTACAAAATGTTAACACTTTAAAAGTTAGGTCAAATCCCAAGTGGGTTTGTTTGGCTGTGTGTTAGAACTAATTTACTAGCCAGGCATGGGGCACATACTTGTAATCCCAGCACTTGGAAGGTGGAGGCAGGAGGAACAGTAATTCAAGATCATCCTTGGCTCCATAGAGAGTTTGAGGCCAGTCTAGGCTACATGAAACATTGTCTTAAACAAATAAATAACAAAAACTAACTTATCATTGTCTCCATGGTGGATTAATACTCTGCAAAAATTCTCCCAAAGGAACTTCTTTGGTCACTGACGGGAAAAGAGAGGTTGTCATTTTTTAACATGGAACATATTTTCATCATTTCACCACTTTGCTGGTGGGAAGAAATTGAAAACTATCCAGCTGGCCATGCCACTTAGAACAATACTGAGTAACAAGAGATTTATTCAAATATTTAATTGGAGGGAAACACATCTGGAATGAGTTTTATTGGAATCCATATAAAAAAGAAAAGAGAATCCATTAGAACTAGTATCAAACAGTTGCCATTATCTGGAATGAGAAGTAGTAATGACTTGCAAGGCAGATGACCTAAACTTATGTTTAGGTACAGGTTTCCATACTTAATATTTTAGCTCAGAGCCATTTTAAGCTACTATTTTACAGACAGGTCACTCAAATAACTTAGTTTCTTTTATCCCTTCTCTTCTTCTGAAAAAAGCGAAAAACAAAAAGTCAGACAAAAAGAAAGCTGTTGAGCTGGAGACACGGCCCAGCAGTCGAGTGCCTGCCTACCATGCAGAAGGCCCTGAATTTGACCTCTAGCGCTACATAAGAATTTATTTATTTTTTTTAATTAAAAAATCCAGACATGGTAGTGAAAACCTGTAACCCCTGAACTGAAGGTGGGAGGCAGAGACAGGAGGAACAGGAGTTCAAGACCAGCCTGAGCTACCTGAACCTGTCTCAAAAAGGAAACAAAGAGGAAGTAGCGGAGGATTCCTTCAAGATATAGTTCCTACTGAGATGGGCTGGGCAGGAGGAACACAGGAGCATTTGGCAACGAGTTATTACTCGAACTAAGAGATTCCCAACTTGTCTTTAAATGTCAACATAGATCCCATTGATCAAGTAGTCAAGTCTTGAATACCGTTTCCTACGGAGCGATTCTGCCAACATCCTACCCAAGAGGGTGAGGCCTATTACCAGGAACAGAACACCAAAGAGGAGGGTTCCAACGAGAAGCCACTTCTCAAATGAAAGGCCATGCTGGCTTTTTGGAACCCTGTTCAGTGATGAGCTGCCTACACTGACCCTCCCGTTCTCCCAGGAAGCAGTCTTGCTTGTAACAGAAGACTCTGAGGTTGACAAAGAAAGGACCGCAGAGCTCTTCCCATGCCCCATGTCTGAGGTCAGCTCAGAGCCTGCTGGAATGGGCCTGGTTTCTAAGATGCCTTTCAAGTCCACGTGTGCCTGAAAGTCAGTGGTCAGAGCTGCCTGGTGTGTAACTGCTCGTGTAACACTTGGAGACATGGGGCCTGCGGGCTTCCAGGTCACTGTGGTTGCAGGTGGGGAAGGCATGGTGGCCACCTTCTGCTGTAAAGTCACGGGTGTCCCTGAAGCACTGGCCAACAGAAGAGCAGGCTTCAGAGAGGTAGGGACATTATGGAGAGAAGTAACAGTGGTAGTTGGGGTGGTCGCATTTGTAGGGAGCAGGTGAGCCATTTCTAGCTCTGAGGATAGCTGTAAACTCTGAGAATGGCCCCTTTCTTTATAAACAGGGAGCTGTGCGCTTGCTTCACCAATCTTAATGAGTTTCTGTGAGTGAGCCGAGGTGGGGGACCTCTGGGAAGACACATCTCTCCAAATCAGGCTGGTGGGCTTTGGGTAACCTATGGGAGGAGGGGCCCGGAGAGAGACTGCTGGTGAGGTGTGGCCAAGTAAGGGAGACTCTTCTTGTGTTAAGTTTTGGAGTGGTGAAGTAGCTCCGGTCAGTGGAAAATCTGGAAGTATAAAAAAAAAACAAAACAAAAAGGAAAGTTAATAGGTCCACATTAAGATATATGTGTAGGGATATATTATTTATGATTTATTAAAGCTTGCCTGAGGATCAAGAAAGCAAAGTCAACCACAAGCCATAGAAGCCAGGCACACACCTTTAATCCCAGCAGCCAGAAGCTAGGAGGTGGTGGTGCACACCTTTAATCCTAGGACTCAGGATTAAGAGGTAGATGGGTCTCTGTGAGTCCGAGGTCACCCAGATCTACACAAGAGTGAGTCAGTCTAAAAGAGAATGATAGGTCACACCTTTAAAAGAGAATGATAGCTCACACCTTTAATCCCAGGACTCATGAGAGGTATATAAGACAGAAGTGAGGCCTCAGTAAGAGGCATTCATTCTCTAGCCACACTGAGGAGAGGAAATTTCATTCTCTAGCCACACTGAGGAGAGGAAGCAGTTTGAGACTTGGTGAAGAGCTCATGGATCAATGCTTCCCTGATCTTCAGGTTGAACCCAATGTCTGTCACTGGGTCTTTTACTAATTTGTGTTACATATACATAAAATACAAATGTTCACTATGTCCCCAAATGGTTGGTACTCTGTACCTGCTGGTCAATTTTCTTTTGTTGTTGTTGTTGTTTTGTCGACTTACAGAAACCAGAGTCACATGGGTAGAGGGAACTACAATTGAGAAAATGCCTCCATCAGATTGGCCTATAGGTATTTTCTTGGTTAATGACTGGTGTAGGCAAGCCTGGCCCACTGTGGGTGGTGCCACTCCTGGGCTGGTGGCCCTAGGTTGTGTAAGAAAGCAGACTGAGCCAGAATGGAGAACAAGCCAGTGAGCAGCACCCTCCAGGACCTGTGCCTCAGCTCCGGCCTCCAGGTCCCTGCCTTGGCTCCCCCAGTGACGAACTGTGACCAGGATGTATAAGCCAAATAAAACCTTTCCTTCCCAAATCACTTTTGGTCAGTGTTTTGTCACAGCAATAGAAATCAAACTAAGATTGACTGATGTAACACGGCTACCTCAGTCGCTAGAGCATGAGACTCTTAATCTAAGGGTCATGGGTTCGTGCCTCACATTGAGCACAAATATGTAACACAAGTTCTAATGGGTCTTAATAATAAAAGCCCAGAGTTATATATAGGGGGAAATGCTGAGAGGTCAGAGAGACAAAGGAGCAAAACCACAGCCACCTTACCTACTCAGCTTCCCAGCCAAAAAGAGACCGAGTCCTGTCTCCTGCTTGTTATCACTTCCTCTCTCTGCCCAGCTACCTCACTTCCTGTCTGTCTGTACAGACCTCCACACCTCTGTGGTTAGCTAGTGGCTAGCTCTGCCCTCTGATCTTCAGGCAAGTTTTATTTGTTAGAGTATAAACAAGATACCACTGTAGACTGACAACTTGTTTCTCTCAGAGAGAGAGAGAGTATGTATGTATGCATGTATGTATGTGTGCATGTATGTATGTATGTGCACTTGTGCACACATGCTGGAAATGAACACAGGGCCATCCTGTATACACCTTAAGCATGCAACTCTAGCGCTGAGCTACGCCCCAGCCTCAGACACATGGTATTTCATCAAAGCCATGTATACAAGAGAAAAACACAAATTACAAATGATCACAACAATGTCTCTCTACCTCATGGTGTGGTTTATTTCTAGCTTGCTGGGACAGAAGAGAAGAGAAAGTGGGGGTGCATCAGGCTGAGGAATAAGTAGGGGCAGTGATGAGGCCGAGAGAGGTGCCATGTGGAAGGCAAGAGGTTTAGGAAGACAAAGATGGCTGAGTCAGGGAGGGCCAGGGTGACCCAAGCAGAGTGGGGACTGGCAGGGAAAATGCTGATGTAAGACAAGCATTCCTGCAGACACATCAGCTGCCAATGAGGCGGCCAATCATGCAGACAGATGTTCAAGCTTGGGCGTGGGATGGGTGAGAACGAGCCATAGAAGCCTCAGGAAAATGAGGAGTCAAGGGAAGCAGAATCCTGGTGACAGGTCTTTACTAGTAACAAGGGTTTGACAGAGAGGTGGAGGAGAGGGCTTGGAGGGTCTGGACTCTTTGAAGAACACCGAGCCAAAGAAATACCTCAAGGCAAATAACATTTTTCCAAGTAGAGTCGGTTCTGGAGCATTATCAGAAGAGGGAGGCTATCCAGGAGACTTGATTCTGACTCTCAAAGCTTGGAGTCACAGAGCGAATGCCTTGGGTTGTGAGTATGATGTTTGAAATCATAATGCCCACACTGGATAGGAAGAGCGCGGCTGTGCAGACCAACTCCTAAGGTGGGGATTTGACTGCCAGGGAACGCTAGTGGTTTTGCTCTGAGCCACACAGCTACTCAACACAGTCCAAACTGGAAAAGTTTGTCAAGGCAATCAAGTGCAACAAGGGATAAGTCAAACTGCTCCGTATGAACTCCGCTACTTGGCTGTTTTGATAGTATTAGAACTGCAGATCCGGGCTGGGAAAGCAGCTCAGTTGGCAAGGCCCTTGCCCAGCATGTGTGAAGCCCTGGGCTCTACCCGAAGTGTCCCATGAGCCGGGTACAGTGGAACACACCTATAATCCCAGCATCCAGGAGACGAAAGCAGAAGGATCCAATGTTCAAGGCCGTTCTCTGCAGCTACTTAGAGAGGTCAAGGCCACCAGGGGCTACATGAGACCCCATCTCAAACACTGAAGAGAACCAGGACAGAGAAAAAACGAGACAGAAAGAACTTCATGAAACACGGGAGGCGGTAGCTTCCTCTCTCCCTTTCTTTTTCATGGCGCTGCCATGTTGGTCTCCAAAGTCAACCGTCTCCTAACAGAGGCAACTCCAGAGGCATGATAGCTTGGGAGTGCTCGCTAGTCCTCCCCTTTCCACGGTTCCTTATTATGTATTTCGGCTTTTAAGTTACATTTTAAACTATTATTTGTGTGTGTGTAGATCAGAGGACAACTTGTAGAAGCCGGTTTTCTCCTGCCATGTCAGTTCTGGGGATCAGACTCAGGTCATCATGCCTGGCACCAAATGCCTTCCCCACTGAGCCATCTCTGGTCCCATTTCACTTCTTTTTTGAGACAGTCTCATGTAGCTTCTTGAATCTGATACATAGTCAAGGCTCATCTGGAACTCCTGATCCTCCTGCCTCCACCCTGCTGGAATTACAGGCATGTGTCACCCCACCCCACCCCAGACTACATGAGCCTTTAAAACCAACACTTGATTCATCTAGAACAAGGCTTAACAAGAATGGCCAAAAACCTGCCTGCCGCCTACCTTTCTGTGGTTTGCAAACTGTGGATGAAGTTTACATTTTTAAATGGCTGAAAATAACCAAAAGAATTTTTGACATGTGGAAACCATACAGTATTTGAATTTTAGTGTTCTTCGACCAAGTTTTACTGGTATCCAGAATAGAATGTTCATTTATTTACATATCCCCAGTGGCAGCTTTTATACTATAAGGTCAGCGGTGAATAGATACAACTGGTTGCATATGGCCATAGTACCTCAAACACAGGCCTCCAAAGCCTAAATTCTATTTGACAGTAGACAGAAAGGCTGGCCGACACTCGCTCTAGGCTACTGTACTCTACTCTAAAATCGAAGTAGGAGCTGGGTGTGGTGGTGATGCCCATAATTCCAGCACTCCGGAACTAGAAGGGTCAAGAGTTTACAGTCATCCTCAGCTACACAGCGAGTTCAAGGCCAGCCTGGTTTGCATGAGACCCTGTCTCGAAACACTTCACCTCCAATCACTCCCCAAAATCAGGGGGCTTGAGCAGGCAGGTCTCTCTCTGATTCTCTCTCTGATTCTCTCTCTCTCTCTCTCTCTCTCTCTCTGATTCTCTCTCTCTCTCTCTCTCTCTCTCTCTCTCTCTCTCTCTCTCTCTCTCCCTCCCTTCTCTCTGTGCCTCTCTCTGTATCCATCACTGTCTCTCTTTAAATTTCATCCTTGTTTTTTTTTGTAATATATTACTACAGGTGATGTCACCATCTGTATCGTTGGGTATTTAATAAAAATGATTACTCAGGGCCTGGGGATATAATTTATAACATGCATGAGGCCCCAAGGTGGATCCTCATGATCACACACACACACACACACACACACACACACACACACACACACACACACCTCAGCATGTTTCATTTTAAAGTTAAAAAAAAGTCAGTTAGATGGCAGCCAAACCCGAAAAGCCTGAGTTCAGTCGGTTCCCTAGACCTACGTGGCAGGAGAGAACCAACTCTTTTTTTTTTTTTTTTTTTTTTTTTTTTTGGTTTTTATGAGACAGGGTTTCTCTGTTTTGGAGGCTGTCGGTCCAGCCTGGCCTCGAACTCACAGAGATCCGCCTGACTCTGCCTCCCCAGTGCTGGGATTAAAGGCGTGTGCCACCAACGCCCGGCTTGAGAACCAACTCTTACAAGCTGTCCTCTGACCTCCACACTATCAACATGGTGACCACAGCCACACACACACACACACACACACACACACACACACACACTCACATGCACACACACTGTCACACACACTCACGCACACACTCACTCACACACTCACTCACACACTCTCACACACTCACCCACACCCACACTCACTCACACTCACTCACACACACACACACTCACATGCACACACACTGTCACACACTCACTCACACACTCACTCACACACTCACGCACACACTCACTCACACACACTCTCACACACTCACCCACACCCACACTCACACACACACACACTCATACACTCACACACTCACACACTAAACATTATATTAAAAACTTTAAGTAATGTCCTAAAGCAAAAAAGAGAGCAAGGGGGAGAGGAAAAAACCCCACAGGATTATTTAGCTGTACCTGCAGTCTATGTGATATTAGAGGTTAGATGTGTCCATTGACAAGAATGACCAAGCATCTGCTTACTTTCCCAAGCGTGTATGCTCAGCTACAAAGGAAAGCCAGCACTGGTCCCATTCGATGAGATGCGTGTTTTGGCAAAGAGCCTGGAACCACACAGAATCCTCCACACCTGTCCCTCTGCCTCGCCCACTGCTGTTTGCACTGGGTGTAGCTTCTCTTTGTGGACAGAAGTCACTGGGGCCGGGGAAACAGCCCTGGGCCTTCAACTCTTCTTTGAGTTTCATTTTTCAAGGGACCATTTCTTGGAAACCAGCTAAGCAAACAGATTTCCAATTTATTGGGTTTCTGAATCCTCCCACTCTTACAGTGCCTGGTAGAAAAGACGTATTACTGAACTATTAAAGACAGGTTGACGCTAAGCTGCAGTGTTCTTGTAGACTGAGCAGAGCCCACTGTCATCTTTCTAAGTGTCAGTCTGTAAATGTTAGTCAGTTGGTTACAGGAAATAAAAGTTCCTTCATAAACAAACCACCAAACAGATATTTACATTTCATTGCAGTTCAAACAGGGTAATTTATGATCAGTGGAATAACTCAACCCATAAACACGGGTGTATTTATAAATAGAATTAAGGACATAACTTGTATACACCCTGCAGGAATAAACAGTTCTCTGAATGTGTCCAGGATCTGGTGTCACTGCCAGGAAATGGCCTTCCACCTGCTCTGTGCTCATGATGCCCCCTGGTGGCTACCACCTGAACGGCTTGATTCAAGTTCCTCCACCTTTGTACTCACCCGTAAAAGGTCCCTACCTAGGTGGGCCCACTTCCCTTTCCTCCTGTCTCCATCCGCCGGCATCTTTATCTTGCATTTCTTTTTCTTTTTCTTTTCTTTTTTTTTTCTTTTGGTTTTTCGAGACAGGGTTTCTCTGTATTGTTTGGAGGCTGTCCTGGAACTCTCTGTACACCAGGCTGACCTCGAACTCACAGAGATCCGCCTGCCTCTGCCTCCCGAGTGCTAGGATTAAAGGCGTGCGCCACCACCGCCCGGCTACATTTCTTCTTTTTTAAAAGCAATGACTCTACAGAAGTATTATGAGAATTAGAAGAGCTAACCTTAAATTGTAACATGTCACCATAGCAGGCCGTTAAAACAACCTGTGCTTTTTCCTAACCGTTGAAGGAAATGTTTGCCACATTGGGTTTCCATGGTTCTGGAACAAACTTCAGGCAAGCCCCCACTCAGGAAATGAAGCAGTCGGCACTGGTGTGACCAAAGTAGTTCATTCCACAAAGCACCCAAGCTTAACAGCAAGAGAGAAAGAACCCTTGATTCTACTTTAAAACTGCTCTCCTCAAACCCCCCCGTTCACACACGGTGGCCCCACCCATCTTGATGCTCGATTCAAAAACTAGGACTCAGCCTTCTTGTGCTCATCTCCTCGGCTACCAGCAAGTCCTACCAGCCTTACCTCCCATCAACTCCTTCCCCATCTCCCTGGACCAGCCTCTGCCTACATCTCCCTTCCCATCAACTCCTTCCCCATCTCCCTGGACCAGCCTCTGCCTACATCTCCCTTCCCATCAACTCCTTCCCCATCTCCCTGGACCAGCCTCTGCCTACATCTCCCTTCCCATCAACTCTTTCCCCATCTCCCTGGACCAGCCTCTGCCTACATCTTACTTCCCATCACCAGTCTTTCCATCCCCCTTTCCCGTGACCTCAAGCTAGTTCCACAAAGAGTCACCAGTGAGCTCTGAGAAGTCCCCTTAAAGACACCATGAATGCACACAGCCATAGTCCCAGCACTCAGGAGACAGGGTAGATAGACCCCTGAGAGTCGAAAACCAGGCTAGTCTACACAGCAAGTTTCAGGCCAGCCAACACTAAGTCAGGAGGAGACCCTGTCTTAGAATAAAAACAAAAGCAGGGGCTGGAGAGATGGCTTAACAATTAAAAGCAATGACTGCTCTTCCAGAGGACCCGAGTGTAGTCCCCAGCACCCACGTGGCAGTTCACAACTACCTGTAACTCTACTTTCAGGGGATCGGACACCCTCAGACAGACAGACATGCAGGCAAAACACCAATGCACGTAAAAAATATCTTCCCAAAGCACAAAAACAAAAGCAAAACAAATTACTTGGGCAAACAAGGTGGCGCAGAGGGTGGAGGCACTTACTGCCTAAGCCTGGCAACCTGAGACCTGGTAAGATATCCAGAATGCACACAGAGGAGGAAGGAGAAAGCTAAGTCTACAAGGCCTCTCTCTGAGTTCCATGCATGCCATGTCACGTGCACACATGCAAGCACGCACATGCACGCACACACACACACACACACACACTAATACTAATTTTAAAAAGACACCACTGGGGCTGGGCGGTGGTGGCACACGCCTTTATCCCAGCACTCGGGAGGCAGAGGCAGGCAGATCTCTGTGAGTTCGAGACCAGCCTGGTCTGCAAGAGCTAGTTCCAGGACAGGTTCCAAAGCCACAGAGAAACCCTGCCTTGAATTCCCCCCTCCCCAAAAAAAGACACCACGGAACATGTCTATTTAACTTCCCACAGCCTCCTCTGGATGACAAATGCACTGTGATCTCCCTGCCTCTCCCCATCCCCTGCCCCCCATATCCTGCACAACTTACTATGCCTCCAGGGGTTCTGAATGAATGATTGGCCTTCAAACATTCCAAATCCATTCTGCCTGAGGATCATCATTGTCTTGGAAGATCTACCCCCATCCTCTCGTATCTGGCCCCTGGCTTTTCAGATCTCAGATCTGAACCTAACTTAGGGGGTTCCCTTGGTGATTATTCTGTTGGGTAACCTCAACCCTGCATGGCACTGTGACTCCTCTACAGGGTAACCTCAACCCTGCATGGCACTGTGACTCCTCTACAGGGTAACCTCAACCCTGCATGGCACTGTGACTCCTCTACAGGGTAACCTCAACCCTGCATGGCACTGTGACTCTTCCACTCTCTCTCCGTCCCCCAAAAGTTAGTTTCAGAAATAAGAACTGTGGTTTCATGTTCAATGCTTCATCCCTGTAGTACAAAAAGTGTGTGGATGCATAAGAAATGCTAAATAACATTGTTATTTATTTAATAAATGAAAAATAGAATATTAACAACCAACAGTTCTCTCGTAGGCCAGTCTAGGCTACATCGGAGACTTTGTCTTTTTTTTTAAAAAAGAAAATGTTTCATAACAGACCTGTGTCCTTTTAATAATATGAAGGTAAAACAAAATAGAAAAAATACTGCCAGATGCTATTATAGAAAAATATATTTTTGTTTAATGAATTTCAAATCATGAAATATGTATGAACTCTCTTGGTACTTAGGCTCTTATAGGACATCTTCCACAGAAGCTTTGAATAATTCAGTCACAAAAGAAAGAGGACAATGCCTTCATTACCTCTGATGAGTCTGTAGCTCATAAGTCCCTCTGCAGGCTTCAGTGGACAGGCTTCCTCACTGGGACAGAAAAACAGGTAGCAGTTGGGCTGTCCGGCTGTCTTCCGGGTGTCGAAGATCATCAGGTTACAGGATCTGTCCCCTGCAACGAGAGACTTGCAAGCCTGATTTCGAAATAGAACGTTCTAGAGTAGCACAAGGAACTTTACCCAGAGTACTCTGCCCACTCTTCTGACCCCTCAGGCCATGTCCTTTTTCTTAGTTTAGTGATAGAAAGCAACCTCAAAAGACATTGATTTGGCTTATAAATCTGAATTAAGGTAATCTTAGAAAAATCATTTTTTCTATTTAAAATTTTATTATTATCTATTTGTGTGTGTGTGTGTTGCCTGCACACATGTCCATGTACCATGTGCATACAGAGCTTGCAGAAACCAGAAGGGGGCATCAGATCTTCTGGAACTGGAGTTACAGATGGTTGTGGGCATCATGTGGGTGCTGGGATTCAAGCCTGGACCGCTTGGAAGAGCAGCCAGAGCTCTGAGCCACTGAGCCGTTTCTTCATCTCCCTAAACAAAAAATTTTAGCAGCACATTTAGTTTTCTAGAGATAAATCTTTAGAAGCTAGAATGATGGTTGGCCTCCCAGCACCTACGTGACACAGTCAGTGTCTCAACAAACCAACAAAGCAATGCATGTGAAATATGAGTATTATCTGTGAGGGCTGAATGCTGGATGTTTCACAGCAACACAGAAAAGCAGACATTTGTCCTCAACTCCAAGAACTGAGGGTTTCCCGCCTTATTTTACAGTGAAAATACTCATACTTTTTGTTGCTTTACATTTATTTATTTGTTTGTTTTTTATTCATCTATTTATTTTACATCCCAGCTGCAGCCTTCCCCCCCTCCATCCTCCCCTTCCAGTCCCTCTCCCCACCCCTCCCCAATCCTGTCCTCTTCCATCCAGGAAAAGGCAGGTCTCCTATTAGTATCAATCAAGTGTGTCATATCAAGCTGTAATAAGATTAGGCACCTTCCCACATATTAAGGCTGGGTAAGGCAACCCAATATGAGAAGTAGGGTCTCAAAAGCCAGTAAGAGTCAGAGACAGTCTGTTCCCACTGTTAGGCGCCCCATAAGAGAACCAAGCTACACAACCGTAACACGCAGGCTCCCTGGTTGTCGGTTCAGTCTCTGAGAGCCCCTATGATTGTGCGAGCCTTCCCTTTGTGTCCTTTCCCCTCATTCATTCAGCAGTTGAAATAAAGACTACAGTTTTAAAGTACTTTGACAATTTGATGACAGTCATAGACTGTAGGAAGATGAACATCAACACAAAGGACACAAAATTTTGCCTGTGATGTTTTTTTTTTCCTGGCTCTACCACTTTATCTCAGAAGATCTGCTTGAGTCCCTGGTGCCAGAGGTGGCAGTCTAGTCACATGCAGGGGGCATGGAACTCATGGTCCTCTGAGGTCTGGGGTTTCAGGTGTGCATCAACATGTCCACCTCTATTTCAGATAAATGTTTATCTCAACGTTTGGAAGACCAGTGCTTTAACCCCTGAGCTGCCGAAGCCTCCACATCAACATTCATATATTTTAAAAAGGTAGGGATTTACAGCACACTGTTCAAATTGAGGTCATCAAAGGGTTATTTCCTGCGGATATCTGGTACAGGGGCTCTTTCCACACCATGTCTCCAAACCCCTCCCAATAACTGGGCATCCTACAGTTCAACCCATTCCTAATCTAACCAGATGGGCTAGCACCGGACTCCATAGGCTTACTGGTTCTTTCCTGCAAGCCTGCTGTCCTCTCAGAAGCCAGTGGCAAGTGCCAGGTCTTGGGTTACCGAACTTGGTGACTTGACTATAAATTCAGAGGTTGCCATAACCCTGCCCAGAGCACAGGGCTGAATGTCCTAAGCTTCTGACTTGAGTTTGCTCTTTCTGATGATCAGCAACATCTAGAACAGTCTATAGGCCTGCTAACATAGACTCAACTGGCATGAGTAAGTTATAGTTGAAAGGCACTCACAATCATGAGACTTGCTCCTTGGCAGTACATCCCAAGGGGTTCGGAGCTCTGTTCCAAAAACACAGGACAGCCTGTATGTAATCCCAGTGACTCAGAAGGCAGAGGCAGGAGACTCGTAAGTGCAAGGCCTGGCTGGACTACAGAGTGGGTTTAAAGGCAGTCTGACAAGTTTGTAAGACCATGTCTCAATAACAAAGGAAAAGAGGGGGCGGGCTGGAGATGGCTCAGAGGTTCAGAACACTTGCTGCTTGTACAGAGGACCCAGGTTTGGTTCCACCACCCACATGGCAGCTCACCTGTAACAGTCTCAGAGGGTCTGACACCCTCTTCTGGCCTCCAATGGTACTGCACCCACATGGTGCACATACACTCACACTCATAACATAAAAACAAACCTTTCTTTTTTAAGTAAAAAGAGGACTGGGGAAAAGAGCAGAGTGGTAGAGCACTTACCTAGCATACATGTCCATGAGTCCATGGGTTTTGTCCTCAGTTACAGTACCACCAAAAAATGACCCGAGACAAAGACTACATATACATTCCTTATGACACAGCACTCATAATCATGAGACTTGCTCCTTGGCAGTATATCCCAAGGGTTTAGGAGAACAGACACCTGCTCATTGTGCTGCCCAGCACTATTTCATGCTCCTTGATGGTGAGGTCTTCCCGTCCTATATACTAATTCTAGCACTTAGCAAGGTGCGGCACACTCGAAAAAGTCAACATTGTCTCATGTAGAGAATTCAGACAGGGTCATGAGCAAACCTGAAATGCTGCCAGCTCTAAATACACACTTCTCTTTTCAGGTTGCCAATTTGAAGCCTGGAGTGTTTGAAGGCATTGGTTTAAATCCATGAACCTGTTTTCTTCTGTGTCACATAAAAGTATCAAATTAAATGGTTACCTCCTGGACCAGCAAGATGGCTCATCTGGTGAATGGGGTGCTGTGTAAGCCTGGGGACCTGAGTTTCATCGCTGAGCCCACCTAAGGCAATACATGGACACACTTATCAGCAACTTTAATACAGCTCTAGGGAGGGATGGCGGAGTGCACTCATGGACAATTCCCCAATAACTGTCACTCATCTTTCTGCCCCACTGAGAATTGCTGGAGCAAACTAACCAGCCACGAAACACTCAGGCCACAGCAGGCCTTGTTACTTACCCGCTATGTTTTGTGTTGAACAGCAGGCACCGATGCAGTCTTCCTGAGTTACCGTATGGATGGGCTCATTGCCTCTGATTCCTTTCGAAAGGGAAGACTGGATGTCAATGACAACATCTTCTAGACTCTCAGTGAGGCACTTCTGACCAGCAACCAGCCTTGGTGTCAGGAAGTAAATTACCACCAAAGTATAAGCCCAGCACTGCTCCTCCTGGAAGCGCATTCTGAACCCTCGTTAACCCTGGTCTCTTCAGAGGTGGAGAGAGTGAGTCTTCCGGCTTCAGTTTACTTCAGGAAGATTGTACTGGTTACTTTACCTCTAGAACAACAACAAAAATAGAAACATACATCAATGACCCTTGGGAGGCTGAAGCAGGAGGACCACCATGAGTTCAAGGCCCACAGGGGCTATGTAGTGGTGCCATGATATTTTGTTTATGATCTAACAAATAAAGCTTGCCTGAAGATCAGAGTGCAAAGCTAGCCACACTAGTTAGCCATAGAAGTCACACCCTTAATCCCAGCACTTGGGAGGCAGAAGAAGGTGGATCTCTGTGAGTTCAAGGCTACCCTGGGCTACAAGAGGTTGATTCAGTCTAAATAGAAACAGCTCACACAAAGGTGATCTCAGCACTTGGGATCACACGCCTGTAACCCCAACACTAAGGAGGTGGAGACAGGAGTGATATGGCTGGGTGGAGAGAGGAATATTAAGCTGGGAGGAGACAAGAGAGAGATACTGTCTGGGGAGTAGTGAAGTCTGAGGAACAGTGCAGTCTAAGCAGTCTGAGAACAGGATCGCCCCTTCGGCTGAGCATTGGTAGAGATGAGAACTCCCTAGTGCCTGGCTGCTTTTCTTCTCTGATCTCCCCAATATCTGCTCTGAGTTTCTATTATTAAGAACAATTAGAATTCGTGCTACATAGTGGAGTTACAGGCCTGGTTGGGCTACAGTGTGAGGCTGCTCAGTGGGTAGGAGCACTTGTCAAGTTCTATCATGAGCACAAGGGTTTGGGTCTTAGCATCCACGTTCAGTGGTTCACAAACTGCCTGTAGCTCCAACTCTAAGGATCCGACACTGTCTTCTAACCTCTGCATAGGTATTGACATAGAGAGAGACAGATAGACAGATGACAGCATGTCACACACACACCCCTTTAAATAATAATAATACTCAAAAAATCAAACAAGAATAAAAAGCTGGAAGTACCTATGAAGAAGTATAAATGGAAATCCTGCCTGTGAGTTTGAGAACCCCTCATCATCTGGTCCCTACCAACAGGAGGAGAAAGGTCGTAAAACCACCAGTGCTGAATGAAGCAAGGCTGATAGTCTGTAACAGCAATTAGCCTTTAAAGCCGTCGGCTGGAGGCAGGCATCAGCTGTGCTAAGCAACTCACACACATTCCCCTCTTGAGTCCTTGTACCAGCCTGGCAGAGTGTTGCTTCTCTTTAAACACCAAATAAGGGGCAGGCAAGTCTCATTCATGACTGAATTCTAGGAGCTGGCCAGTTAGAATGGACAACATTCTGGCTCCAATAAGAGAAAGTTTAGGGGTGATTTATTTTTAAATCTCCAAAATATAAGAGTTGGCTATATGAGTGGCACATGTCTGTAACCAAACAAGAAAAACACACAACTCTAGAAAAGTCAGACTGTGTTGAATATCAACTTCATGGATAAAAGGAAAAATCAATGTGGAATCGGCAAAGCCACACCTCACCCACCCATCCTCACATTTCTGGAACACATATTTTTTGCTTACTGAGGAACTGCTGCTGCTTTTTATTTTGTTGTTGTTGTTGGTCTTTCTTTTTCTTGAGATAAGGTCTCGCTATGTAGAGCAGGCTGGCCTGGAACTCAAAGAGATCTGCCTGATTCTGTCTGCTACCACAGCTGGCCATGTGTGTTGCAGGATCCTGAGGGTGTCTCTTGAGGGTGGGGGAAAGTAGGTACAACACCAACGACACAGACATCGGGAACAAGTGACAACAAGTTCAGTTTATTCCAGGAAGAGGTAAGCCTTATATACCCTCAACCCTGCCCCAGGAGAGGAGATCCACTGAGCCGGCATCTACTGAGGTGACATGGTCGTTGTCCATAGGTCCATGTCATCTCTTATCCACTGTTGTCAAAGCCTACTGGCAGACCCAGGCAGGATGTCAGGAGACATCTACTGAGCATGCTCTTACTATCAGTCTAGGCTGGCTGTTAGGCCCATTGAGGCTTAGTTTTCCCACACGTGTGTGTGTGTGTGTGTGTGTGTGTGTGTGTGTGTGTGTGTGTGTGTGTTACATAAATGTGTATGGGGGGGTGGATGTGGGTAGTTGAATGAGAAATCTCCTCCACTGGTTCATGTGTTTGAACTCTGGGTCCCCAGTTTGGGGATGGTTAAGGACCATTAGGAGACACAGCTTGCTGGAGGAAGTACGTCTCTGGAGGTGGGTTTTGATAATTTATAGTTTTGTCCCACTTCCTATTCCCTCTTCCTCCCTCCCCTCCCCCATTTCCTCTCTGCTTTCCTGTGTAAGCTCCCTGACCCTGCCTTCCCGGCCATTATAGACTCTCCCTCTGCAATTATAAACCAAAATAACCGTTTCTTCTATAAGCTGCTCTTGTTTGTGGTATTCTACCCTAGCAACAATAACAAAAAGATAACCAATATAGTATGCACGACCCTACATGTGTGTGCAGAGGCTGGAAGAAAATGTTGGGTGTCCAGCTTATTCCCTGGAGACATGGAATCTAATGAACCTGGAGCTGGGACGGCTTGCTATGACACTCCCCACCCCCACCCCCGAATGCCCAGCACAGCAGTTACACAAATGCATGGTGGGCCTGGCTTTTTCCGTGGGTGCTGAGGATTCCAACTTAGATCCTCATATTTGAGCAGCACACGCATTGCCCACTGACTCCACATTTTTGCTGCTTTGGCCTTCCCTTGACCTTGATCTCCTTTGATAATCGAAGAAGGCGTAGGCCTGAAAGAAATGTGTGCCTAAGATGGAGCAGAGGAAGCAGAGCAATGTTAGGATATTTGCACAGTGCACCTTAACACCCATCGAAAGCTGGTTACATTAGCAAAACTTTTCCGTTGTAACTCAGTTGGTACTGTTCATGTAACAGCCACTAAGCTCTGTGTTTGGTTCCCAGTACAACATACACAGGGCCTGGGAGCATACACCTATAATCCCAGCACTCAGGATGTAAAGACACAATTAGAAGTTCAAGGTCATCCTTGGCTACATGGCCAGTCTAAGAGATATAAGGCCCTGTCTCAAAAAGAGCCAAACAAAACCAAACAGGATAGTTTGCTTGCTGTTGTTTTTAATGTATCTATAAAATTAATGAGAGCTGCAGGCCTAGATTAGCGGTGCAGAGCTCTGTCAGTGTGTAAGGTCCTGGGTTCAATCCCAAGCATCAAAAAACTAAACAAAGCAAAGATCTAGCCAGGAGGTAGTGGCACACACCTTTAATCCCAGAACCAGGGAGGCTGAGGCCAGCCTGGTCTATGGAGTGAGTTCCAGCACAGCCAAGGCTACACTGAGAGAAACTGGAAAAACAAAACCTCTAATGAAAGAAATAAAAGACCATCTAAGTAAATGGAGAGGAAGCCCATGTTTGTGGTAGGAAGATTATTACTAAGACATCAGTTCTTTCAAATATCACCTATAAAATTCAACCCTAGCGAGTCATTCTGGATAACACCGACACAATTTTAACAATGACATGGAAATGCAGAGACCTGTGAGAGTCAGTCAGCACAATAGTGAAGAATGTCCGCAGACCAACAATCCCTCTTCCAATGCTTACTAGAAAGTTGCAGTTACTTTAAAAAAGAAAGTATATTAGCAGAGGAACAGACAAATAGATTAACAGACGGGGATATAGCCCATGAGGACACACACACAAATACAGACAACTAGTCTTCAGCAAAGGCAAGTCAAATACAGTGTTGGGGACTAGAGAGATGGCTTGGTCCTAAGGCGCATTTGCTGCTCTTGTAGAGACCTGGAGCTTGGTTCCCAGCACTCCCTTAGGGGGCTCACAGCCACCTGTAAATCCAGCTCCAGGGGCTCCAACACCCTCTTCTGGCCTTTACACACATGTGTGCATATTTACACACAGACACATAAATAAAAATAAACTAGATTTAAAAATACTGTTGGGACAGTGGGACAGCCTCATGTAAAATAAATGGAGAAACAAACCTTTTCCCTTTCACAACAAGAGCTCAAATGGATCCCAGCCACAAATGTATCACACAAATCTATACAATTCCAGGCAATAACAGAGGAGAAAAGTCTTAATGTTCTTTGATTGGTTAAATGGTGCGTTTTTAGATATAACAGCAAAAGTACAGTGCCTTAAAAAAATCTGGTTTTTAAACCACACTTACTTTATGTGTGTGAGTATTTAGCCTGCATGTGTGTATGTGAACCATTGCATAGCTGGTGCCCACGGACGTCAAGAAGAAAGCATTGGCTCCCCCTGACACTGGAGTTATGAACGGTTGTGAGCCACCATGTGTGTGCTGAGACTGAACTCAGGTCCTTTGCAAGAACAAGTGTTCTTAAGCACCGAGCCATGTCTCCAGTCCCTGATGTCATAGTCAATACAAATTAAAAACTGCTGCTCTGCAAAAGCCACTGTTCTTCCCTTGTGTATGGTGTGTGCGTGTAACCGTGTGTGTGTGTGTGTGTGTGTGTGTGCGCGCACGCGCGCGCGCGCGTGTGCATGCGTGTGAGCGTGCACGTGTGTGTAGCAGGCATAGGTGCACCTGACTGTGGGGTTTGATGTTCAGAATCCTCCCCAGTGACTCTCCCATCTTCTTGTGTGGCACGGGGTTTTAATCAGACCCAGAGCTTGCTGACACAGCTGGTCTCTCCAGCCAGCTTGCTCCAGGATCCTCTCTCTGCCTTTCAAAGGCAGCCCAGCCCACCCAGCATCTGTGAGGGTTGAGGATCCAAACTCAAGCTCTCACATTGGCCCAGCAGCTGCTCCACCCACTTTACACCCCCCCCCCCCGCAGCTACAGAGAAGACGCTTGAAGAACACCTGTCTGCTTAAGGACTGACATCTGAAACATGCCAAGAACTCTCAGCAATAAGAGAAAAACTAAGGAAGTGGGCCAGGCATGGTGGCATGTGCCCTTAATCTCAGCACCCAGGTGGCAGAGACAGGCAGATTATCTTGAGTGTGAGGCCAGATTGATCTATATATTGAGTTCCAGGATAGCCAGGACTGCATAGTGGGACCCTGGCCAAAAAACAAAAACAAACAAACAAAAAATCACAGAAAAATAGAAACAAAGTCAAAACTAAAAAAAAAAAACTCAAAATGGGAAAAGCATCTGAGTAGATGTCACCAATTATATACATATATATATGTGTGTGTGTATATAATTTATATATATGTAGACAAACAAACATACTAAGCAAGGAACTGCAATTTCAATCAACACTGAGACACAATCACACACCTATTAGAATGGTAAAAGTTCAAGAAACAGACAGCACCAAATGCTGACTAAGACATGGACCAACAGGACCTCCCATTCCTTGCTGGTAGGAATGCAAAATGGTGGAGCCACTCTGGAAGACGTGTGGTGGTTGTTTCAAAGCTTAAAGGTCATCTCACCATAGAATTCAGCAATTGCCCTACATGTATTTATCCAAATGCATTAAAAACTGTGTCCTGGGGCTGGAGGGATGGCTTAGCTACTAAGAACAGATACTGCCTTTCTGGAGCTGTCAAACTCCAAGAGACTCTGACATCCTCTTCACAAGTGTAGGCTCATGAACAAATTAGCACAGACATCCACACCCACACACACACACATCCCCACACATAATTAAAATTAAATTTGTGAAAAACCTGCTTCTAAATAACAACAAAAATCTGCATGGGAATATTTATAGTAGCATTCTTCAAAATTGCTCAGAGCTAGAAACAATCAAGACGTTAGTCCATAGGTGGATGGATAAATCAGATACAATCACATACCTAAATGCTATCCAGCAATAAAAGGGAATGAATTATCAAGCAACAGAAAGATGGGGGGGGATCTTCAAGTATACATTGCTAAGTGAAAGAAGCCAGCCTGAACAGGTTTGACTCTGAGTTTGACTTGGAATATATCCTGATAGTCTGGAAAAACCAAACCAAAAATAGTAGAACCAGGGTTGGAGAGATGGCTTTGAGAGTAAGAGCATAGGCTTCTCTTCTAGAGGACCCCGGTTCTAGCACCAGCATAGGCATGGTGGTTTACAACTATTTGATGTTTTGTTTTTCCAGGGCTGTGTAACAGCCCTGGCTGTCTTGGAACTTGCTTTGTAGACCAGGCTGGTCTCGAACTCACTGAGATCCATCTGCCTCTGCCTTCCAAGTGCTGGGATTAAAGGTGTGTGCTACCACCGCCCTGCTGGTTTACAATTGTTTGTAACTCAATCCCAGGGGGGCTATGCTGCCCCCTTCTGGCTTCCTTGGGAAGTGCACACAGGTAGGGCACAGACATACATGCCCGCAAAACACCCATACATATAAAATAAAAGGAAAAAGAGAATTTTCTTTATTTTTTATTGGTGTTTTTGAGACAGGGTCTCTCTATATAGCCCTGGCTGTCTTAGAACTCAAAGTATAAACCAGACTGGCTTCAAACTCACAGAGATCTGCCTGTCTCTGCCTCCCAAGTGTTGGAATTAAAGGTGTGCACCACATGTCCGGTGAAAAAGAAAAATTTGAAACCCTAAAAATATATCAGAGCTTACTAAGAGGGGGAGAGGATGGATGATGGACTACAGAAACTTCTTAGAGCTGTGAGATTACTCTGTATGATACTGTAATGGATATGTCATTGTATATCTACTAAGACCCATTGAACTGTAAAACACTTCAAGTGATCCTTCCTGAATAATGAACTTTAGTTGGTTAACCAACAAAAGTTAGCATACTAAGCCAGCCTATGATCATAGACCACAGGGGTAATTGTTATTACATCCAGCTTCTGTGTACAGGGAAATGGGAATGTGTCTCACTTTCACATGCCAGTCTCCATGTACTTTATACAGACCATGTCTTCATTCCTCCCAAGAAGTCCAGTGTACCCAGCGTGGAGTTCACACCTGAAATCCCAGCACTTGGGAAGATGAGCTGAACTCCAGGCCAGCCTAGAATACAGTGAGACCTTCACACACACACACACACACACACACACACACACACACACACACACACACACACGCACGCACGCACGCACGCACACGCACACACACGAGAGAGAGAGAGAGAGAGAGAGAGAGAGAGAGAATATCCTAATGAGATAGCCCATTTTAGTCCCACCTCCAGTTAAGACAAATAAAACAGCTGTGTGGTGTACATGCTTCTTTACTAGTAGTCAAAATAACGAGTGGAATACCAAATAACTGCCACAGTTTTGGAGTGCTGAGTATAATCTTTTGAGATGTTTGTAACGAGTGACACCTACAAAAGGTATGTGTGCTCCCCAGTGGTGGTAAACCAGTTACTGCTAACACCACTATGGTTTTTGCCTACATTCCTCTTGGCGGAAATGCCTCTTTTCAGTGACAGACTAGGGAAGTAATAAATTTTCCCAGGTTCACAGACTTCCTGAATTCTATCCATGGAGCCTGGAGAGAAGAGAAGGAGGGGAGGAGAGGGTGAGAGTCTGGAATAGCAGGCCTCCAGCACTCGCACAGGAACCTGCACGGTGCCACTGATCTAGTTGGGAACCGTCTAAGCTAAGGCCAAGCTTTCATAATTAATAGTAAGTCTCCGGGTCACTATTTGCTGGCTGGCAGTCCACAGAAACTCCAGCAAGAAAGCCTGTTATAACTTGGGAGGCAGAGGCAGGCAGATCTTGTGAGTTTGAGTTCCAGACCAGTCAGGGCTACACAGTGAAAATGCAATTAATTAAATTAAAAGCGGTTTTTTCTAAAAATACCCAACAACTGGTTACTGCTCCCCAATTAAGGATTACATATCAGCACAGACTGGGGCCTGGACCCAGAGCCCCCTACACTAAGCTGCATAAAGTTATCTAATCTGCTATTATTTGGGGTTTAAGGCCTAGAAGCTCAACTTGATCCTGCTGAAAAGAAGAGAGAAACTCCAGCCTCCTAGAGTCACTCAAACTTAACTTGTACTTAGCTATTTCGATTGTTTGGAATCATTTACAACATGCTATCAAGAAGTCAATAACTGTCTCACTCTCTCTCTCTCTCTCTCTCTCTCTCTCTCTCTCTCTCTCTCTCTCTCTCTCTCTCTCTCTCTCTGTCTCTGTCTCACACACGCACACTCTGTCTCTCTGTCTCTGTCTCTGTCTCTCTGTCTCTGTCTCTGTCTCTGTCTCTGTCTCTCTCTCTCTCTCTCTCTCTCTCACACACACACACACACCCCTTTACAGAGTATCACACCGGCAGGTTGAAAGAGACAAACCACACGAGAAAACATGGGAACTTTTCCCTTTGAACAAGCCGCACGCAGCTCCCGGAGTGTTTTGGCCTCCCTCTGCAGACGACTTGGAGCTTGTGCCATTTATAGCAGGTGCTTTCAAGCCCGCCTGGCCATCTGCTTTCGGGTGTTGAACGATACATTCTCCAGGCCAGCCCCTCTTTGCCCTAGTCTGGTCCCTGGGGTCGCCTCAGTGTGGGTCTCTGAGCTGGGCCGGGGAAAGGAACGGAGTTGTTCTCGGCAGGGGTCGACCGTACCCGAGACCAGCCAGGGGAGGAAAGAGACGCCTTTACCTGCAAGCGAGAGATCTCTATGGTCCCCGTGGCTCCTGGGCTCAAGGACGGCTAGGTCGCTTTTTTTTTTTCAAAGGACCGGCGAAGCGCGCAAAGATCTGGAGAGGATAGCAGGGGATCCTCCGCAGCTCCCGCACCGGCCCCGCAGATTTTGTCGTGACCAAGTTCCTGCTTCCGTCGCAGCGACTGAAAGTTTGCACGGGGGAAGGGCGCGTCCCTGCCCTGCAACCCGGAGCTGCTTCCCAGCAACATCCAGTTTGAGCACCCCAGCCGGAACGTGCGACAGCCTAGGCTCGAGGTCCCCAGCTTCCCGCGTCGCCGTCACCGCACCCAGCACACTGCGAGCCACTAGAGGGAGACCTTCGGACCCTCCGGGTCACCCAGGGTCTGCAGCTGTGCTGCGGGGCTGCCGAGAGGTCCAGTAGAGCAAACGCACAGGTGCTGATGAGGAAGTCACACACCCAGGTGAACTCTGCCCCACGCCAGGGTCGCAAGTTTGTTTTCAGACAGTGTCTTGAAGGCTCGGCTGGCTTGGATGACCTTGAACTCGTGATCCTTTTGCCTCTATTTCCCAAGTGCAGGTACTACAGGAGTACACCACCACATTTGATTCAAGAACACCTTCTTGATCAAAGTTCACAGTTCATCCTATTTGGGCATAATTAGGAGAATCCTACTTCTATAATTGGAGAACAGGAGGGTCCTCAATCACAGCTGGTGGTTTCCCAGGCAACCTTGGGAACCCAGGCATTTGGCTTTGGTGGGGGTGGGGGAGGATGGGAGATTACTAGGTTGATGTTGTTGCTGTGTGTTGTTTGTTTGGGTTTGCTTTTTTGCTTCTTTGAGGTAGATTCTCACCAGTCTGGCTTCCAATTTCATAGGTAACTTCCTGCCTTTACCTCCCAAGTGCAAGGATTTCAGGAGTACAATTCCAGTTACGATTTGCTTATGGGTATGGATAATAATGATGAAGGCAATGATGATGCCGTTGTTAAAATGGCATCCCTAAACAATTAGCATAGGACTTTGTGTGCCAGAGTTGTTAAATGTATTTAACTAAAATGTACTTGCTGCCAAATGAAGGGCAAGTGGACGTAGGGGGTTAAAGTAGCTCTCAATTACTGCGCCTCACCCTTGTTTCCATATAACCCCAGACAAATGAAACCTCGCTAAAACACTGGTGCACTTTGGTCTAATTTTCAGCAACATCTTAACTTTGGCTGGTGTGAAAGTTTTCAAATTATAGTTATAGATGATTATTCTAGGCATGCACAGCCAATGAGGAAGGCCAGCTTTAACCAATAGCGGTAGGAGGTATATGTGGCCGGAGAAATCTTGTAAACAATGAATGGTCCATTGTGTGAAACCAACTCATGCTAGGTAGGAGGTGACCTACTTCCCAGTTTTAGTAATGGTGCCATAGCTTGGTACCAAAGAGTTGCCAAGGAAAACCAGACTCCAGTGTGGATTAATTACTTCACTGGAACAATTCTCCTGCTACAACAAGACTCCATGTATGCATACTCCCATCTCTAGAGGACATGGTTGGGGGTGATGGTAACTAAGCAACTCTGTACAGTTAGAAATTTCAGATTGCAGGCTGTCTCCACACCTGCCCGTAACCCTCAAACTCATGATGGGAAAGCAGGAAGATAGGTTATCCTTGGATGCATAGCCAAGACTTCATGAGGCCCTGTCTCAAATGACAAAGAAATGTCAGCCTTAGTGTTCTGCTACAGTGAACTTGTTATATGTCTCAGTTGCAGCAGTGAATAAAGGTCACTGATGAAAATAATGACTAAACAAAACTTCCTGGAGCTGGGCCTGGAGGTACAGGTTTGTAATCCTAGCTAAAGGTTAGATAGCAGGACCACAAGTTTGGTGTCTGTGTGTGCTACAGGGTGATTTTTAAAGCTAGTAAGCAAAAAATATTAAGAGCTTGAAAAATGGTTTAATAGCTAAGAGTTGATACTACTCTTCTAGAGGATCCAAATTTGGTTTCCAGCACCCACATCAGGCAGCTAGCAACCCCCTATTAAACATTTTTTAAGATTAATTTTTGCAGGGCATGGTGGCAGTAATATTTTGTTTATGATCTAATAAAGCTCAGAGTACAGAGCTAACCCACTAGTTAGCCACACACCTAGTTAAGAGCTAAGTCACTAGTTAACCACACACACACACACACACACACACACACACACACACACACTAAATCACAAGTTAACCACATACCTAAGTCACTAGTTAGTCATAGTGGACAGGCAGTGGTGGCCACACCTTTAATCCCGGCACTAGAGAGACAGAGGCAGATGGATTTCTGTGAGTTCAAGAGCTCACAGGCTACATGAGAGTGAATCAGTCTAAAAGGGAAACAGAGGTCACACCTTTGATCCCAGTACTTGGACTGACACAACTTTAATTCCAACACTAGAGAGGACTATAAGGCAGGAGGAGACCAGAGCAGTCTAGGCAGTCTGAAGTTTAGTGGAGAGCAGTGCAGTCTGGAGATTCAGTCTGAGGACAGGATCGCCCCTTCCCCTGAGCATTGGTAGAGGTGAGAATTCCCTAGTGGATGGCTGTTTTGCTTCTTGGACTTCAGCATTAACCCCAATCATCTGTCTCTGAGTTTTTATTATTAAGACCAACTATTATTCGTGCTACACTGCAGCCATCCTGGAGAGGAAGCTGTGGTTAATAGTTTCTACATGCACAGCATTCGAACTTGGACCACAGGAAGCCTCTGCAATCCCTCTGAGCCTCGCCTGGGAAGACTTTGCTACACCCATGTGTAATATAACCACTTCTGACACCATATGTAACATGTAGTCTTCCCACCAGTCGCCTGGGTCCTGCCAGTGTCTCAGTCCCCAAATAACACACGAGACACTATATTAATTATGAAGCTGTTAGCTATTTTCAGGGTTTCTTATTGGCTAGCTCTGACTTAATTATTAACCCATAACTGCTAATCTGAGTATTTCCACGTGGTCTTCTCTTACTGGAGAAAGGGTCTGGACCTCTTCTCTAGAATCTTACATTGTAACTGACTGTGCCTCTGTTTCCCAGAATCCTCCTCGACTCCTAGTCCCACCTATCTGGCTTCCCTATTGGCCAACAGTGCTTTATTTACATATACACAGAAGGGCTTCCCCCATCATCCCTGGGTCTGAGGCACTGGGGTCCTTGACATGGCTGTGCTCAGGTCAACAATACATTAACTCGGGGCTTCTGCTGCTCCGTGCACATTCACTCAGGGCTCCCTCTGATTCCCCACAGTATTACAAGTGTGTACCACTGGGTCTGGCACCGCAAGAGATTTTCTGATCCTCTTCCCTGAGAGTTAAGACTCCCATTTACATGAAGGCACAAAAAAGTGTTTGATTAGGAAAATATCTGCTAAGTACCTCACAAGGAAATCAGAGAATAAGACACAGGGCCTGGCTTCAAGACGCTTCTAGTTCAGTGAGTGAGATAGGTACGTCACTTGCTATGGAAGAACAGATATTATGATAGAAGACGCTAACTAAGGAATCTCAGAGGGTGGTCTTCCAAGAAGAAGTATATTAGTCAGATCTAAAAAGGAGAAGCTCAGCCAGCTAGAGAAGGAAGAAGAGGAGGAACAAGAATGAATTATCCTTGAATTATCCAAAGAGAGGAAACGGACCGCTCAGGCGTCAGCCTAACTGGCAGAAAAGTTGTCTGTACATCAAGGAAAAAGAATACTAGAATATACTAGTATTCTGGAAAATTCTGTCTTCTTGCTACATGGAGAATGGATTGAAGGAAGTGAGGTCAGAGGTCTCTGACTTTCAAGAAATGATGAGGCCTTGAACTGGGCATGGAAATCAAGGAGAAATTAAGGAGACAAGCTCTCTTGGTCTTAGTGACTGCTCAGATGCACTGGTGAGGTCAAGTAGACTTTTGGTGGGTGGATGTGCCGGGTGCTATAGGGAGAAAGAGCCAGGCTGGAGGAGGCTCTTTTCTGTGTGATCAAGAATAAGCCATTTCACTGAAAAAATCAAGAGATTTGTTTCTAAGATAGGCTTGATGGTACAGCCCCATAATCCCAGGACTTGAAAGGCTGAGGTAAGAGAATTTCTGAGAGTTTAAGGTGCACCTGGGCTACCAAGCAAAACCCTGTCAGAAACAACAACAACAAAATCCACAGAAAATAAGAAAGGTTTTCTTACAAGATGTGATATAAGACTCATATATATGAAAGTGGTATAAACTTTCAAAGGCTGTTCATACATATAACATAGATTGCTACTCATACATAAGTGATTCTAAGAGGCACCAATCACAAATGGAGAAAACCTACTGTACAAACACTCTACATTTTCTTGTCATTGGACTGCAGGTTTCTTAAGTATAAGGGCTACGTCTTGTTGAATCTTTTCTTCTTGCCTCTAACATGTGCCTGGCACCTGCAGGTTCCCAGTAAATGTTGAGTCAGCAAACAAGGGCATACTTAATTCCATATTACATTAAATCCACCCATTTAGAGGGTATGCTTCAAAGACTGGAGAGATAGATGGCTCCCCAGTTACAATTGTGTACCACTCTTGAGGAGGGCCTGAATTCGGTTCTCAGCACTCACATCGGGTAGCTAACAACTGGCTGTAACTCTAGTTCCCGGAGGTCTGAGGCTCTCTTCTGGTCTCCACTGGTACCCCAACCGCTATCTTCTGCTCCAAATAAAATAAAATCTAGAAGGAGGGGAAGAAAGAAGAAGAGGAAGAAAGAGAAGGAGAAAAGGAAGAAGAAAGAAAAGAAAGAGAAGGAGGAGGAGGAGGAGGAGGAGGAGGAGGAGGAGGAGGAGGAGGAGGAGAAGAAGAGCACTTAAACCTGGGGATGATAGTACATACCTGTAATCCCAACATTCAGGAGGCTGAGACAGGGGAATCATTTGAACTTGTGTATCAAGTATTAGATCAGAGAGAGAGAGAGAGAGAGAGAGAGAGAGAGAGAGAGAGAGAGAGAGAGAGAGAGAGAGAGAGAGAGAGAGAGATCCATAATCAAAAACACACAGCACACCAAACCCCAAACAAAGCAAAACAAACAATCCCTCATATTCTATTCTCTGGGTAAATTTTATGTCTATCTTCATATTCCTGCAAAAGACTGAACTTGAAAATCTATTTGCATTCTCGTCATTGCATTGTAAAGGGGATGGAGGCAAGAACCAATTTTGAAACCATAGTTCTAAATAATCCCACTTCTTACCACCTGATAACTTGGAAATTATATATTTATTGGCCTTAGAGTTGTGAAAATTAAATGATGTGAAACAGAGAGCATGTTTGTGCCATAGCAGAAGAAAGCTAAAAATCACTTTGTCAGTTTGGCCCTGCTTGGATTATATTTATCCATTTTCAGGATTCCACTGGGCCTGATCACCAAAGATAATTTCCAGCTGCGTTTGCTGACTGCAACTTTTACTCTTGGAAAGAAAGAGGGGGTGAGGAGGATTATGTATGCAATTCTGCTTTAATTTCGGGTGGCCTTGGGGGTGGAGGGCTGTCTCTGTGTGAGGCTAGATTATATAGGCAGAGAGTGATGGGTGAGGACTACTTACACTCTAAGGGTTTGGTGAGTGATCTTGTGTATCCAGTGCTGAACCTTCAGTGTGGCTGCTTTTAAGTCACCCATGGTTCTTCCTCACCCACTGTTCTATAAATAAACCTAATAAACTTATTGGTTCCTCAGAACGAATTTTGGAGGTAGTCGGGACAGTTGTAGGATGTAGATGTATTTATATCTCTCCTAGGGAAAGAATTTTAGCAACACAGGCACCAGCCGCAGAGATTGGGGCTTGTAATTTCTTGAAGCAGTTGAGAGAAACCCCTGGAAGGAGTTGGGTTATTATCTGCCTACATCTGATTTGCTCACCCAAGCAGTTTCTGTTTTCTATTATCTGTACATCTTCCTGGTCATTGGTAGTTCCATAGGGACCTGTCAAAAACCGTCAAGATCCTCAGAAAGTGCCTAGATCCACTTCCGGTTCAACAGATGTAAAGCAGCACACCCGACCAGTTTTTCTCTCATTTTTAGCTCCTTTACAGTGTCTTGGCATTTTTCTGTATGAGCGCCCACTGCTAAACTCCCTGCTTTCGAAGTTTAGGAAAGGGTTTAGCTTCTGTCCTAGTGTGAACTCAAATTCGATGTCTACAGACCATCTTTATTCTCCATTGGTAAAACGGGTAGATATACCTATTTTGCAGGGCGTGGTGGTTCAATAATCCCAGGTTGAGAAAGGCGGATGGCCCAGAGTTGAAGGCCACCTAGGGCTACAGTGTGCGGGTCCTATCACAAAAGCAAAAACCCAGTCCATTTCGCAAAGTTGTTCGAAGATCATCGGGATTACAATGGTCCTCAAAGGAAACATGTCATCTGGACACCTTTGGCCTTGAGGTGGCCTGGCCCTTTAAAAGGGAGCCGCCCCAACCTTCAGCGCGCGTCTCCCCGCCCCGCCCCTCGGATTTGGGGGCGGGGAAACCTCCGAACCCGGAACTGACGGCTACGCGTAGCCGGTGCGGCCAATCGGCGTCCCGGAAGGAGCGAGTTTAGGCGCCTGAGCCAGTGAATGACAGCAGCGCCGCCCGCCGGTCGCAGCCGTGGCCCCGCCGGTGCCCCGAGCCTCCTGTCGGCGCGCCGCGCCTCCCCGCGTGCCTGTGGCCCAGCGCGGCCTCCCCGCTCTCCCCGGCCCCTGCCCCGCTGTCCCTCCGCTGCCGGCGCCATGGGCAGCGAGCAGAGCGCGGAGGCCGAGAGCCGCCCCGGCGATCTGAACGCCTCAGGTCGGTGCCTCACCTCCCGCCCGGGCGCTGCTTGCGGAGCCGGCGGGCCCACCGTGTGCCCTCACACCGAAAAGGCGTGGCCTCCCGCCCCAGCCCTGGTCCCCTAAACCGGCACGCTCGGCTTCACTCTGATCTGTAAAAGACGACCTCGTGAATGATCGCTTCCAGGACTCGGCACTGACGCCCGAGATTTGGCTCTCTCTGTGGATGGATAACACCCAGGACCTCCGCGATCAGGCTTTCTGATAAAGCGAGGTGTCCAGGTTCCTCTTCAGAAGGGGCCTGTGAGCGCTGGGCGGCCACCTTCAATGTTTGGGTGCAAATGTTACCAGAAACTGCTTTTTTCCCCTCAGGTGTCGGGTCCGTTTTTTTTTTTTTTTTTAAATAAGTTGGCCAGATGGCAGGCAGGTTCTGGTGTGTCTTCTGTTGTCCGCACTTTTTAGAGTCCCCTAAGCGTGTGAGGTAGGGATTGGAAGTGTATTGTGCTAGATCTAGACCTGTAGTGAGTGCTCAATAAAACAGCTGGAAATTGAAAACTATTTAGTCTTTTATTTTTTTTTATTTTAACTACCCACTTAGGTAACTTCTGAGACTGCACTAGGTAAGCTCAGGGGTTGCTAAGCCTTGTTAGTTAAGACCTCCGACCTAGTAAGACTCTTTAGATTGGCTCTCTGTTTGGTAACTAACATTTGCCGCTCGGAAATGTGGAAGCTACAGATGTAGGGGATGACTCATGCTAATGGGCATTCCTCTGAGACAGTGCCCTCAAGACCAGCTGTCTGGGAGCTTGCATCTACTGGCTTTGACATGTTTTGTTTCCTTGGAAGATCCAGAGTGTCATGTCTGTTTATAACACGGCAGTAATGGCCATTTCTTACTTCCGTGCCTCTATGCCCGGCCAGAAGCATAGTTTAGCGGAAGGAACATGGTGTCCTTAGGATCTGCTGCTCATCCGGGAACCAACAGCCTAGGCTTATTTCTGGGAGAATTTGCACACTTTCCTGTGCCAGGTGCTTTACACATGCTTATGTGTAGTATCTATAGTATCCCCGTTTTTACACACGTCTTTACCCGTTATATGCATAAAATATAATAGAGGTGTGCTAGAATGCTTTGAAGTCCCCTTTGGTTTCTGAGGAAAGGAGGAATCATGTAATTTGTAGCAGGGAAGATGTTTTGGTACTGTTTTTGTAAAATGTTAGATAAATTACCAAGCCAGGATAAACTACTTCTGAAAAGCAATAAAAGTAGCAGAGATACCCCACCCCTACCCCGCCCCTGTGTCCTTGTTCAGGGCAAACAAACACCAAGCATCAGGAGAGGCTAGTTTCCAGAAGGCAGAGTAGCTCTGTGGTATCTATCCTCAGAGCAGACTGATGAGCCTGAGTATACCTATTGCCTACTAGAACCTTCTAGTATAAGACACCATAAGGATTCATCCTTGTTCCAACCAGAAAAATATTTGAATGAGATTTCTTGTTCTAGGGAATCCTTGGAGGACTGAACTGTTCTCTCTCAAGGAACCTGAAGTTGACATGCCCTAGAAGTACCTCCAATTTCCTGAATGTTGCCAAATTGTTTCTGGTCTTTTTTCACTACTGCTACACTAAGGCTCCCTGGAGCCTTAAGAATAGACTCATAATTTGGGTTTGAAACCAGAGGTTTCGGGCACAGCTGGCTCTGTTCAGCACATCTGGCTGGCTCTAGTAGGTTAGAGAGACAGCCTTGCATTCTGTGTCACTAAGAGTCCTTGTACCAAGGACCCAGAGACCTTCACTGCCTTTCCTAGCTCTGTTTCTAGGACTGTTGGCCTTGGGCAAGCCCCAGACAGTTTTGTTCCTTTATTTGTAACCTATGGACATATATAAGGAGATCAGGACAATCAAAACAGGAGGCATTTAAAAAATATGCCTATGCATTGGTGTATTGAATAATAAAATGCTTGGTTATGCAAGAATTGCATACATGTTATATGTTTCTTTATGTTTGAGAGTTTTAAAAAAATGTATATATAAATAGGAAATAGAAGTCCTGGGCTGGGCCATAGCTCAGTGGTAGGACACTTGCCTACTATTCAAGAGGCTCTGGTAACAATCCCTTGTACTACAAAAAAGAAAGAAAATAGAAGTTCCCTATAATCTACCTACGTCAGTCCCCCACTATAAAATAACGACATTTTACTATGTAAAAATATCAATTTTTTTCTTCCTTTGAGACAGCGTTTCATGTAGTCTAAGCTGATCTATGCTCTCAATGCTGTACATTATTTTATCATTATGTGTATATGTGTTTTGCCTGCTTTGCTATGTAAAAATACTAATTTTTCTTCCTTTGAGACAGTGTTTCATGTAGTCTAAGCTGATCTATGCTCCCAATGCTGTACACTATTTTATCATTATGTGTATAGGTGTTTTGCCTGCATGCATGTTTATGTACCACATGTATGTAGTGTCTGAGGAGGCCATAAGAGGGCACTGGATCCACTAGAACAAGAGTTACATTTATTTATATATTTATTAATTTATTTATTTCAGACAGGGTTTCTCTATGGAGCTTTGTAGACCAGTCTGGCCTTGAACTCACAAAGATCTGCCTGCCTCTGCCTCCTGAGTGCTGGGATTAAAGGCATTCACCACCACCATCTGGCTGCAAATAATTTTGAACCAACATGTGGGTGCTGCTGGGACTTGAACCAGCATCTTCTGGAAGAGCAGCCAGTGCTCTTAACCAGTGAGCAATCCCTGGTCTTGAAGTTTTATCTTCCTGTCTGTACCTCCAATTTGGAAAAGTGAGCCACCGTGTCCAGTTTTATGACCAGCTGAATTATATCCCCTCATAGTCTTTTGTTGTTTAGTTTTATTTATGTATGTATTTATTTATATATTTTGAGACAGGGTCTTACTATGTAGCTTTGGCTGTCCTGGGATTCACTATGTAGACCAGGCTGGCTTTGAACTCACAGAGATCTGCTTGCCTTTGTCTCTGCTGGTATTAAAGGTGTCTACCACCATACCAGCATTTCCTTATAGTTTTTGTTTGTTTGTTTGTTTTTAAACCTTAATCCACTTCAACATTTCAAAGACAAAAAGTAGACATTACCACCCTTGGAAGAAGTATATCATTTTAAGTAAGGATGACTTGACGAGAAGCGTGCATGTTATGACTGGACGAGTCTCTTACGTACTGTGAGGTGCTTTCTAGTGACTGTTGCTGGGCAGTGGTAGCTCTCCAGCATGCAGTTCCTGATCCGTGCCACTTGATTTGCAGTGACTCCGTCTCCAGCTAAACATCGGGCCAAGATGGATGACATCGTGGTCGTGGCTCAAGGCTCTCAGGCCTCCAGGAATGTCAGCAATGATCCTGATGTCATCAAGCTGCAAGAGATCCCAACCTTCCAGCCTCTTCTAAAAGGTGAGAGGCATACTTTCTGCTACCTGGGCTTCCTGGGGAGGTTACTTATGGCCCTACTACTCTTCCCACGTATCTGTATGCCTTCCTCTTTTACCTCTTGTAGGTCTTTCTTTCTTTTTTTTTTTTTTCTTTTTTTGGTTTTACGAGACAGGATTTCTCTGTATTGTTTTGGAGGCTGTCGATCCTGCCTGGCCTCGAACTCACAGAGATCAGTCTGCCTCTGCCTCCCGAGTGCTGGGATTAAAGGCGTGCGCTACCACCGCCCGGCAGGTCTTTCTTTAATTGACATCTTCTCTGAGAAGTCTTTCTTGTCTGCCCTGTCTGAAATTGGAGTCTCTTTCCCTGCCTTTTTGTTTTTGTTTTCTTTCCTGTAGCACTTAATCACCTCTGACCTACTGTAAATAGAAAAAAATTTTTTGCACGTATTGTTTCTTGAGTATATGTATGTGTGTGCATGTCATGGCTTGCACATGGAGGTCAAAGGACAGCTTTTGGGGGTGTGTTATTTCTTGCCACCATGTGGGTACTGGGGATTCGGTCAGGTTATCAGGCTTGGCACCTTTACCCATTGAGCCAGCCCAGTTGGTTTCTGGTCTGTATTTTTCTGTTTCTTTCCACTATTGATATAAAATAAGGATTGAATAAATGAATGAATGAATTGGTGTTACTAAAGGTGGCCCATCCCTATTATATTTACATGAAAAGATTTTTGTTATTTGTGATCTAGATTGTGGTATGTGTTGACTAGTTCAGACTCATAGAAAAGTCCTATCACCATCAATGAACTGGTAATTAATTCTGGCAACAGTTTTGTATGAGAAAAAAATAGGCTTATAAAAGGAGAGATTACCTACCTAATCAGCAGATTTCAAGATGCTTTATTCGAAGACCATAACTTTAATGCTTTTGTATCTCTATTAAATGGAGTTTGTTTTCTTGATCTTTTGTGTGGGTGTGTGCATGTGTGTGAGTGTTGTATGTGTACATGTTTGGAAGCTGTAGGTCAATCTCCAGTTGTTCTCAGCCATTCACCTTGTGTTTTGAAACAGGGTCTCTCACTGGGACCTGGGGCTTATCAATTAGTCTAGGCCAACTGGCATCATGGATCTGGCTGTCTCCACACACCCAGAGCTGAGACTATGAGTGTGTGCTACTACTTCCAATTTTTTATGTGGTTTCTGGGGATCAAACTCAGCTTCTCATGCTTGCATGAGGAATACCTCACTTACTGAGCTGAATTTCTATTCCTGGAAATGATTTTCTATGAACTAAATGTTACTTCTGCTATATGAATTCCTCTGATTCCTTGCCTCTACCCCTCATAAAAAAACCCAAAACAAAACGTAAGCAATAATGAGCATAACTAAGGCTGTGGTTTAATCAACCTGCATCTTTCTTCATTTTTTTAAATAACAATACCACAGACGGAGAAATTTATAAAGAAAGGAGGTTAATTTACTTTATACTTCACAATGAAGACCATGGCTCTGGTATCCTTTTGGCATCTGCTGAGAGACTCTCTGCTGGGTCATGACATGAAGGAGGATGTCATTTCACAAGGCAGAGCAAGCTGCTAACTTGGTCTCCCTTTCTCTTTAAATAAAGTCATTCATGCAATCATAAGGCTCCACCTTCATGGCCATATCCTATCCTGGTTACCTTCCAGAGGCCACACCTCCAAATCCCCTTAACCTATGATTTGTGGGGAGTAAGTTTCAATATGAACTTTAGAGGTGACAAACACCTGGACAAGAGCAAGCTGGTGTAATAGACTCTAATAAAGCATCTTATATAGTTATTCATATTAAAATGTACCCTGGCTCCACATATATGTTAATGTGGAAATATTAAGCTACACAAAATAGGGATGTCCTGTGATATTTTATTGAGGGAGAAATCACTTACGTGAGAAGCCAAGAAAGCTGAGAACCAAAGGTCCACACGCTGCTCTCCAGGCCGCAACCAGAACCCAAAGAGACAGCGTCTCTTCCCCCTAGCTCTTTTATTCCCTGTTCTATGCACCTGTGAACACATGTAAATGGGCGTGGTCAGCGCTATGGGTACATAGATCTCTCCCTACAATATATACATACCATTCTTGTAATTCTTACATCATTGAATTTATCTAAGTGATTTGTGTAAGATCAGACATCTGGCAGATAGAGATCACACTTGGAATTTCTTCACTGGTGTCAAGTCCTACACCAGTTACACCACTGCATGCTGCGTCTAACAAAAAACAAATAGCACATCAGGTGATCTATATATCTTATTTTTCCCAGCAACTCATCTACTTTACAGATGAGTCCATTCATGCTTTCACTCTCCTCTGTGCTGGCTATCAGACTAGACTTTGATAAACCCTCTCTATAAAAGAACATACTATATTCTGTCACTTACTCCTCATTCATTTCCCTTATTGTGAGGAGAAGCCAACGTTAATGAAATGTCTACCTTCACATACACTTGTCCGGTCTTCAGAAACATAACGGCTGGGTATTGGTATTCTTCACTCCACTCTCCTGGGTCTGCATGGAGCCCTGCCCACAGTCAGTTTTCACACGCCTCCTTCCTGTCACCCCATCCTCTCACTCCCCAGAGTCTTCTCGTCCTGCACTGGTTGCCTGTGACTGAGTCTTGACTCTTTCACGTTAGGGAAAACCTAAAAGCAAACCAGAATTTGAGGTATACTTGATAATTTTCTGGGATTAGTTTTTTAATTATTTGCAATGATTCATATGAGAATAAACTGACCAGCAGGGAAAGTGTCTAGGAGAAGACTTGCTGCTAAGGGGAGCTGACACGAGTAAGGTCATCCATCTTGCATGCGAGTGATGAATATAATATAAGTGAGCGCCTTGCAAAGTGATGCACCTGGACTTGGTTACCCTAGAAGCTCAGCTGTGATCAGGGTTTTACCACCGTCTGACTACACTGGGAGTAGGTATAGAGGGGAGGAAAGCTGCTGAGGGGCAGTTACTCTGAGTACTTCTCTGGCTTTGGCTGAGGAGGATAGAGAGCTCACTTGATTAGAAATGGCAGTGTGTGGCTGTGCTCAGACCGCAGACCAAACAAAAGGCGGTGAGTGTTTATAGATGCTTGTGTGTCATCTGTGAACAAGAAACCCCTTGGATTGTGATGGGAAGAGAGAGGCAGACAGGAAAATTGAGTAGACTGATGATAACAAGTGTCCAGCTCCCCCAGTTCTTCCTCATGAGAGCTATTTTGTTTTCTACTTTATGGATTAAAACACTAGGATTCACCTTAAATTCCAGGCCTTACTAACATCACTGGCTGTATCAATAACCCTCCTTCAGATGGTACTGGGACAGGCCGGCCGTAGAGTAGGTCTTGTTCCTATTGTAACACAACCTGTTGTATAAATCACAGCGATCCTAGGGAGATTGTGTGTGAACTTGTTTGGATTTTAGGTGCCAAATTTGTGGCAGAGCCTCAAGCGTTGACGTTGTTCTGCTCTGTAATTTAAAGCTCCTGCCTGCTGGCTGTTGTAGGACTGTCGCCTTTATACCTCCATCTCTTTGTGCCCTTGCTTGCTTCCAGGGTGAAGCAATTTCTTAAAGTAGTTAAAAAAAAAAAGGCCACCCAGTGAAGGCTGTACCCCCCAGGTTTGATTTCAGAAAGCTTTTGTTCAAGTTAATGACAGTTTATTCTTTCAAAACAATATATTCAACCATTACAGAGTTCACTATTGTTCCATAATGTCATATGAGGTAATCTAATGCTGGTGGGTGATCTGCAGAGGCAGAGACTGGGCGAGTTTGGGGCTATTTGTATGACTGAGGTAATGCTTGCATTTTAATAAGCAAGCAGATTCTTTGGTTTTAGCTCTTTTGCATAAATATACCAGGATATGATTTATGCTTTATAATACAAATATCTGTTCTTCTTGTTTTTTTTCAAGTCAAAGAATTTCTGTTTTTTTCTTAACAACCTCTGAGTTAGCAATTTATTTTCATATGTAAAACACTAGGAAATGGCAGAAAACTAGAAAGTAGCAATGTGGTTATGACAGAACACAGAAGCAAATTGTTGATTTCATGTACGTTACTAAGAATCCAATGAGGTAAATAAGCCCTACACATTTCTTACTTAAAATTCAACCACTCATTTTTTTTAATGAAGCTGACTCTATTCTATATCATTCTATAGGAATGAAACATTCACAAGAGAAATGCAATATTGTTTTTATGTCAAAGTTACAAAAATATCCTATTCACTTTTGGTGGATGAATAGATGCGTATACACACATACAACATTGTTTGTGACTGACCTGCCATTTTTGTTCATGACCTTGGATATAACATAAGGAGTTGTCTTACAGCCTAAGAAAGGACTGTCCTTGTTACCAGCCAGGAAGGTCCAGCTTATACAACGCAGATGCTTGAGTGACACTAAGCAGCTTTGTTGGGTGCTTTGAGAGTGGGTGTTAAGAACAGAAGGCATGTGAAATGGGCTCTGATTATTAAAGAGCTTGGAGCTGGGTGAGGGGGTGCATTCCTGAAGTCCTGACGCCAGGAGGCAGAGGTAGAGAGATAGCTGTGGCAAGCCTGGGCAGAAAATACAAAGAAAAGGAAAACAAAAGCAAAGAAAAAAAAGAAAAGACCAGCTTTTTGTCTTTTCTTGGTGGAGCTAAATCACATAGAACAGCAGTGAAGGGTCTCAGACTCTTGGAACACTTGGAACACTGAGAACTAACTATATGTAGCTGGGGGAAGAATGAAGCCAGGGAAAGAATGGGAAAGAAGAAGAGGAAGTGAAGCTTCCTTCCTTCCTTCCTTCCTTCCTTCTTTTCTTTCTTTCTTTTTTTTTTTTTTTTGAGACAGGGTTTCTCTGTGTAACAGTCCTGGCTGTCTTGGAACTCACTCTGTAGACCAGGCTGGCCTTGAACTCACTGAGATCCACCTCCCCAAGTGCTGAGATTAAAGACAGGCGCCACCACCTGGCTGTGATTTCTTATGATCGGTTTCTGAACCATGTA